TGTATATTTGTGGGCGAACGTAGCAGCCAATTGCGCACAGCAATGTCCCACAAACAGTCGCAGATTGAAAATGACCAATTTATTATTGTTTTTGGTTTTCGGAGGGATTATTATTAGGCTCTGTGTGGAGTAAGGAAACCTGCCCAAGGTTTCGCCCTCTGCCTGAAATTGAACTCAGGTCTCTCGCTTGCAAAGCGAGTGCTCTAACCACTGAGCTACAGGACTCCACATTACATAGAACAGACCTGATATACAGATAATAGGGCTGTTATACAAGGACCAGGCCTGTTGCACAGAGACCGGACCCGATGTACAAAGACCGGACTTGTTATACAGAGACCAGGGCTGATATTCGGAGACCAGACCTGTTATACAGAGACCAGGGCTGTTATAGAGAGACCAGGGCTGTTGTACAGAGACCAGGGCTGTTATACAGAGACCGGGTCTGTTGTACAGAGACGAGGGCTGTTATTGTTTAAGAACAAATTCCCGCCATAAAATATAATTTCTCCAAATGGAGCGTCGGGTTCACAGCGCCTCAGCCAATCAGCGGTAGTGTGTCTCCCAGCTGGAGATTCCCATTGTGACGCGGCGGCACCTCAGCCAATCAGCGGCAGCGTGTCTCCCAGCTGGAGATTCCCATTGTGACGCGGCGGCACCTCAGCCAATCAGCGGGCTGCTGGCCAGAGGGCGGGCAGTTTGAAACTCAGTGCGTCTCAACTCAATATGAGGGGATATGAGCTGACGGGGGAGGTGAACTGAGGGGGGTGTGAGGGGATGTGAGGGCAGGGGGGGAGCTGAGGGGATGTGAGGGGAGGGGAGCTGAGAGGATGTGAGGGGGGGAGTTGAGGGGGGGAGCTGAGAGGAGCTGAGGGGATGTGAGGGGAGCTGAGGGGATGTGAGGGGGGGGGGTGAGGGGATGTGAGGGGAGCTGAGGGGATGTGAGTGGGGGAGCTGAGGGGATGTGAGTGGGGGGGGAGCTGAGGCTATGTGAGGGGAGGGGAGATGAAGGGATGTGAGGGGCGGGTAGCTGAGAGGATGTGAGGGTAGGGGGGAAGTGAGGGGATGTGAGGGACGCTGAATTGATGTGAGGGGAGCTGAGGGAATGTGAGGGGAGCTGAGGTGATGTGAGGGGAGCTGAGGGGATGTGAGGGGAGCTGAGGTGATGTGAGGGGAGCTGAGGGGATGTGAAGGTAGTGGAGTTGAGGGGATGTGAAGGGAGGGAAGGTGAGGGGATGTGAGGGGAGCTGAGGTGATGTGAGGGGAGCTGAGGGGATGTCAGAGGAGCTGAGAGGGTGAGGGGAGCTGAGGGGATGTGAGGGTAGTGGAGTTGAGGGGATGTGAAGGGAGGGAAGCTGAGGGGATGTGAAGGGAGGGAAGCTGAGGGGATATGAGGGGAGCTGAGGGGATGTGAAGGGATGTGAGGGAAGGGGAGCTGCTGAGGGGAGGAGAGCTGAGGGGAGTTGAGATGATGTGAGGGTTGTTGAGCTGCTGAGGTGAGCTGACCTGAGGGAAGTTGAGGCGACATGGGGTACGTGAGCTGAGGGGAGCTGAGCTCAGGGGAGGGGGAGAGCGCGATATCAAATGCCAAGATTATTATTAACGCTGCAAGCCAAAGCCCTGTGGGTAGAATGGTCCAAAGGATAAATTTCCAGACCTCGAGCCTTGGCTCTTGCAAAACAACTCCTAGTATGTTACCTGACCCTATGCCTCAGTCCCTCGTCCTTGCTCCCCATTTACCCGGATCACTTTCCTTTTGAACCTATGGTCACCTCCAATTTCTCCTCAGTGCAATGTCTATCAATGCAATTGTTAAACATTCTGAGACATGACCTTACGAATGGCCAAATGTGCTAAACATCTGTGTTCCTTTTGTCTTCAGGTGTCTGTCCCTTTAAACAGCAGTTGGTCTGTGATCCCCACCCACACAGCCACTTCCTGGTTTGGGGGAAAGTCCCAAACAGAGCAAAGAGCTGATGGTGAAATGGCGTCTGTACAGGAATTGGAGAACCTGAGAAATGAAGCCACTTGTTCAATCTGTCTGGAGTTTTACACAGATCCCGTGATTATAGACTGTGGCCACAACTTCTGCAGAGACTGTATTTTACAGTGTTGGGGCACAGGGCAAGAAAGTGTGTCCTGTCCACAGTGCAGGCAGCAGATTCCCCAGAGGGGTGTTCGGCCCAACAGAACTCTGTCTAACATTGTAGAGAGTGTTCAGAGACTGAGCCTGAATCCGAGGCTGGAAGAGGTGGGAATCCAGTGTGAAGAGCATCAGGAGAAGCTGAAACTGTTTTGTGAAACGGATCAAAGAGCGATCTGTGTGGTCTGTGCGATGTCCCGTGATCACAAGGATCACACAGTCATTCCCATTAAGGAAGCTGCTGAGCTCCACAAGGTATGGAATTGATATTAATCCTGAAATTTCATGTGGCGTCGGGAGGGCTTCAGAATACACTGTAAACATAGGACACAGGAGGAGACCATTCAGGCCTTGAAGCCTGTTTGCCATTCAGTTAGATCATGGCTGATCTGTACCTCAACTGAAAATCCCCACGTTTGCCCCATATCCCTTGATACCCTGACCTAACAAAAATCTATCCAACTGTCTCTTAATCCACCGACCTTTGGGGGAGAGAGGTACAGATTTCCACAAACTTTTATGTCGGAAAATATACTTCCTGATTTCACTGACGAAGGCCTAGTTCTTACTTTAATATTATTCCCCTTGTTCTGGATTCTGTCACCAGAAGAAATACTGTCTCTGTAGCTACTCAATTGAAATCCATTATTAATTCAAACACCTCAATCAGATCACCCCTCAACCTTTTAAACTGAAGGGAATACAGACCAGGTTTATGGGGCCCTAAAGTGACCTGACTGTGAGCGCAGCTGCCGATTTGCACACACAATGTCCCACAACTTCCTGACTCAAGACGCCACAATCTGATAACTGAACCAGGTGTTTAATATGTAAGATTGGTTTCATGACCAAGTTAAAGTTTAGTCGAGCAGATGAACCTTTGTCAATGCGCTGTTACACTCTATGTGACAAATTAGGAAAGAGATGATATTGTGTACAGCCGGTCACTGAGCATCAATCTCGCCGGCCTCTGGGTCAGAAGGTTGTGTGTTCAAGCCCTGGTGTTGGCTGACTTGCTGACGGCATGTTAGGTAAATCCAGAAGTTCTGAGTGGCCTCACCATCTCACTGCGTCGATCGAGTGGAATGGAATATTACAGCTCTGTCACACAGGTGGAATATCGTAAAACAGTAATAATGACGCTATCCCTTCTCCCTGTTTACTTACATTCACTTTGTTTCAGCAAAAGCTGCAGAAAGCCCTCGAAACCCTTCAAAAACAGTTGGATGAAATGTCTCAGTGTCAGAGAGAAGAAGGAGCAGCTCAACTGGAAGTGAAGGTGAGGTGTTTGTATATGAGCTCTGATATAGCCCATCCCATTGATATTGCTGTGTGACAAGCTTTCCCGCTGTTTCCAGCCATGACCACCCTACAGGTTAGGGGTTGGTCTCGCAGTGTTAACAGGAGATGAGTTGGTTTACTCACTCCGCACAGTCTGTCTATCCAGGTCCTGTCGATGAGCCAGTCTGGGCTGTGGCGTTATCAGCAGTGCCCTGGGATACTGTGGACCGGCCTGGCTCAGGAACTGGACAAGAGACCGTCACAGAGGCCTCTCTCGATGCCGCCATTTCATTGCCAGGCAGGTCACCTTGGAGCCAGTTCAGTTCAGGAGACCTCGATACCCACCCCCTCAGGAGGATATCACCAGGTTCATGGGCAATGTAACCGTGACTGACAGGCCGATCCCCTGTTCTTGTGTCGGATAATGTTAACGTTGTGTTCATTGTGACAGAGACAAGCCGAGCGTCTGAGGAAGAACATCGACGCTGAATTTGCTAAACGTCACCAGCTGCTGACTGAGGAGCAGAGAGACCTGATTACCAAACTCAGACAGCAGGAGGAGGCCATCTTAGTGCAAATAGAACACAATAAGAGTGACATTTCCAAGCAAATTACTTCTATTAACCAGAGAATAGCAGAAATCCAGACAAGACTGACTCTCCAGAACACCGAATTCCTGAAGGTGCATAGGCTGTGTGTCTGGTGTGATAGACAGACAGTGAGTGTGTTAATGCTGGTGTGTGTCTGGTGTTATAGACAGACAGTGAGTGTGATAATGCTGGTGTTTGTCTCGTGTGATAGAAAGGCAGGTGATGGTGTTAATGCTGAATTTAGAAAGAGATGTAGACGAAGGGGAAGGATTGTGTGTTTGTGTTTGTTTTGGGGGAAGACGGGTTTGCCGGGTTATGGGGAGAAAGCTGGTGATTGGGGTTAGTGAAAGTGACGCTCTGTCAAAGAGCCGCACAGATTCGATGCGCCGAATGGCCTCCTTCTGTACTGTAACATTCTGTGAATCTATGAAAAGCTGATATGATTGAGTTACTACAATCTGCTGTAACTCAGATCAGAAATTTAGTCTTAATTCATTAAAACAGTAGATTGCTGATAACATGACACTGACTTAACTTGTCACGACCACTGACGTCATCACGTTCTCAACTATCCCGGCCTCATTTACTTATGGGTTTATACATATGCCTAACTGGCCATTCCTGACATCTTGTGACTGAGACTTGTTCCCTTGGAGTGATGAGTTATCAGTTTATTTTAATTTAACATGAATCACAGCATTAAGCTGCCTAATACCTGTACAAATTCATCTCGATGGCTGTGTGCAAGATGGACTCTAACCCTCCTTATTTTTCTCTCTTCAGGATATCAAATCCATCATTGCCAGGTCTGTAATCTTTCCTTACGTCCATCTAGGTTAGTGACATTCCCGAATCGCTTTGTGTAGCAGAAAGTGCTATTAGTCATAGAGAAACATTTGTGTGAGAGAGCCCAGAACATTACATATGTCCAATCTATCTTCAAATTGTACAGGGAATTGTGATGATAATAATAATCCTATCATTTGATAGAGTGCTTTATCAGATCTTAATAGAATATGCCATAAAGGGAACTGATTATATATTTTTGGGAGAAACAATGCAGTCCATTGCGCACAGCAGTGTCCTGAAAAATAATTGCAATTACCCCTGGAAAATTGATCCGCCAATCGACTAACAACTTGGTCCTTACTACGTGTAAGTAGGAAAGTACTGAGGTGTGAAGTAAGGAAACTTACCTCATGTTTTGTCCTACCCGGGAATCGAACCAGAGTCCTCTGGCTTGTGAGGCGAGCGCTCTAACCACTGAGGAACAGGTCTCCACAGTGGTGGTGATGGTGAAAATCTCACCTGAGTCATCGATGTTGTGTCTGAATTTAATTAAACAAATCTCTATCTGTGCCCAGGTCTGGTGTTGACATCAAGAAACCCACAAAAGTGTCTGTTGATGTGGCTGAGAGGGACCTCATTGGGTCTCTGCAGAGCAGAGAGTGGAAACTCCTGTTAAAGGGCATCACTGCAGGTAACACTGGCTCTTACTGTGTTCCTGTGATCGGAGTCTGACTCTGGGAATAGATGTGCAGTAAATGTCTTGTTCTCACTCCTCATCCCCTCGGTCGGGAATGCTGAATAAGATCATTGGGAGCTCAGCCCACCTCAGCCCTGCGGTGGCCGGGCCCCGGGTCACAGCCAGACATTACTGGTGTCCCACATGTAACCTGAGACACACAGAGCAGGAATCCAAACCTCACTGAATGAACCATTGAAATATAATGTCAACCGTTCACCACACGATCTCCAACATGTCAACATTCTCTGTTTCAGCTCCAGCCTCTCTGACTCTGGATCCTAACACAGCCCATCCCCGGCTCATCCTGTCTGAGGACCGGACCCGAGTGAGACTCGGTGACAGAGATCTGCAGCTTCCTGACACCCCGGAGAGGTTCAGTTTCTGGCCCAGTGTCCTGGGGTCTGAGGGGTTCACATCAGGGAGACATTACTGGGAGGTGGAGGTGGGGAACAGCACATACTGGACAGTGGGGGTGGCCCGAGAGTCTGTGACCAGGAAGGAGTATTTCACACATGGACCTGAGGGTGGAGTCTGGGCTGTGAGGCTGTATAATGGGGAATATAAAGCTCTATCCTCACCTCATACCCCCCTCCCCCTGAGGGTGAGCCCCCGGGTGCTGGGCGTGTACCTGGACTATGCGGGAGGACAGGTGTCGCTGTACGACGCGGAGCACATGTCTCATCTCTTCACTTTCACCCACACGTTCACTGGGAAACTCTTCCCGTACTTCAGCACATGGTGTCACACTGACCTGACACTGAACCCCCGACACTGACCGCGGGGCCTATCAGAGCGCGACAGATCACATTGACATCTCGGCGGACCAATGGGACGATCCAATTGAGGGGGCGGGTGTTCAGAAAGGACCAATGGGGAGCGAGTGGGCGGGAGGGGAGTGACGGTTGGAGGAGGAGAAGCGCGGACATGGCGGCGGCGGCGGCAGTGAGGGGTTGAGCAGTCGGGGAGGGAGCGGCCCCGAGAGGCGGGACAACTCGGCGCTGATGGCGGATCGGGTCAGTGAGACGGAGTGTGAGAGCGTGTGGGTGTGTGAGCGCGTGTGGGTCTCAGTCTCTCTCTCTCTCTCGGTCTCTCACACACATTCCGAGTGATCAGATAATTAATAAAACTCGTGAAAGTCAATCTCTCTCTGTGTTTCTCTGATCAGTTCGCGCTCACTCAGGGCCCGGATCAGCGCAGACTTCCTGCCGCTGGATGTGGACAAGACGGAAGCCATACTCCTCGGCTCCCGTCACCGCCTTCACTCCTGAGGATCTGAGCTCCTCAACCGCCCCGGACTCTCCCTCAGACTCCCCGAACCAGTGCCCAACCCCGGGGTCCGGCTCGACCCCCACCGTCCTTCCTCCCCCACATCCCGTCCCCCACCAGGACCACCTTCCTCCACCTCCGCCACATTGCGCGCCTCCGACCGTCCCGGACCCCGACTGCAGCCGAAACCCTCGGGCACGTGTTTGTCACCTCCCGCCCGGATTCCTCCAACCCACTCCTCGCCGGTCTCCCCCGCGCCACCATTCACAAGATCAGCTCATTTTGATAAAATTTAGATCTGCTGATGGTATTGCTGATGGACTGTTCAGTCAGAGTTGAGAAGGATGCATTCGGCGCCATGCACCTGTGTGTTGAGAGAGTGCTGGTGCCTGGAGTACTTGGGTGAACTCAGTAAGTAGGAAGCAGTTCGGGCAGTGAGGAAACTACGGGCTCGTGCGAGATATGGAGAGGGAGCAGTGGAAGAAAGTGACCAAGGAGGAAAAGTCATTGCAAGAGGAAGCCCAGAGGGGAGGAGTCCAAATAACTCCAAGTGAGGGCGTGCATTTTCCACGGTTTGCAGGAGGTGGAGATGGGTTGGGTAACCGTGGGGAGAGGGTTTGAGGAGTTAAGGGAGATGTTGTAATGATCAGAGATGGCTTTGTCAGTGATGGTGATGTCCCAGACGTTGAAACCCCGTGTGATCACCAGGTCAAGCGTTTGGCCATGGATATAGGTGGTGAATTGGATATGGAGGGAGTGGCTGTGAGAGGAGAGAAGTGACGATAAGTCAATGGAGACGGAGCAGGAGGTGGTGAAGTGCAGGTTGCGGTTGTCGAGGACAAGGAGCCATTCCGGGAAGAGGCAGAGGGAAGATAGAAATGTGCAGATGTCCGAGCAAAATGTGGGGGAGTGTTTAGAGGGAACAGTAAATAAAGAGGGCTTTGTGGGAATACTTGGAGAGACGGTGGAGGTTAAGGTACTCAAGAGAGGTGAAGGTTTCGGAGGAGTGAGCGGATAAGCCGAGTGTGGACCTGAGATGGAGCAACATCTCCACCACAGCTTTTATGTCATGAGTTATGATCGACCTTGTAGCCGGACTGTGTGGCCAGAGGCAGGAGGAAGGTGGCGACTCGGGTGACCCGGATTTTGGTGAAGGCAAGAATGTTAATATTTCCATCGACAATGATGAGCGTTTTCCTGGAAAGGGAGCGGACCGCACACCCCACACTCATTTTCCTTCGTCCGATACTTCCAGTCCTACAACTCCAAACGCAAGGAGATGATAGATTTCCTCACGTCGCATAACGAGAGGATCTGTTCTGCTGCCTCTGCCACCACCATCCTCTCCCACTTCCAATTTGCAGCTGAAACCGCTCCCCGCCAAATCTACAAACACCTTCAACCTGTCTCTCCACTAACTCTCTCCTCCACAATCTCCTACACAAAATCCACAGGGTCTTTTTGATCCAGCGCCACCCATCTCCTCACACAAAGCTTCACTTCCTTGACCCATGGTAGCAATGTTGTAAACCTCTATCTGGCCATTGAAAATGAAACCCGGTCTTGACTTATCCACGTTCTCAAAATCCCATCCCATCTCCAACCTGCCTTTCTTGTACCAGGTACCGGATTAATTGTTGCTTCAATTTCCTTTTCTGATATGCATGGAATCACAAAACAGTACAGCATAGAGGAAACCATTCGGTCTATCTGGCTTGTTGAGCTACCGACCCGTCCCTACCAAAAAACCCACACTCTTACCCCATAGCTGTGCAAATTTTACTTTTGAAGTACATATCCAGTTCCATTTTGAAAGCTATTATCGAATCTGCTTCCACCACTCTTTCAGTCAGTGGACTCTAGATGCTAACAGCTCTCTGGCTAAAGGACATGATCGCAATCTCTCCTCTGGTTATTTTACCAATTGTCTTTAGTGTCCTATGGTTACCGACCAATTCTGTCAGGGTTATTTGAATTCAGGACAGTATGGTAAAGGGCGGGCCGACTAAAATTCTTCATTCAATTGATATTTATTAATATGAATTAGTAAACAAATTCATATCAAAATTAATCATTTCAACAAATAAATTATTCCCAATGACAGATTAAAACATTTCACGGGAATAAATTGATCAGACAAACACGATCGCTTTAATGAAGAATCAGTTTGTTGATCCAAGTTGATTGTAGTATATCCCTCTTGCCTTCAAATTATTTGTGGTCAGGTACCCCATTCCAACAGCTCAGCTCTTCTCCCAAAGTCAGCTCTTCTCCCTTTATAGAGACTCATTGATCTTGTAAAGACAAATGGCATTCAACTCCAATAAATCAGATTTACAGTCAATCGACTGCTTGTGTTACCAATATCCAATAGTTGTCAACATCCACTCGCCTTTATCATGATTCCAACAGTTTGTTTTAATCAAGTCTGAGTATCACAGATTCTACGACCATTGTGTAATAAAGAACAACGTTTTATCATCAATGACGTTGAAACTTTGTTTTCTGTAAGAATGCTTTCACTGTTCCCGACTGCGTCTTTCCTGAAGGAATCAGACCCATGAGTCTCAGTGATTTTTCGTTGGTCAACTCAAGCATCTCTGGTTTCTGGAAATGCTTGGAATTCCTTCTCCAGTAGGTCAAGTTAACGGCATAGTTAATCTGCTTTTGCCCGCACTGCCTGTCACCTCCCTGTCATTATTTCCACCAACCCTGTGCCAAACCGTGCCGCTGTCTGATGCTGCAAGGCACTGACCCATGTGAACGTCATTTGTCCTCATCGTATGCACCCCAAATTTGCTGAAGTCTTTATGTACAAGAATCTTTTTAAAACTGCACTTCGCCCGCAAAATATACAGTCAATTAACTTGACAGCACATTCTGTGAAGTGCTTTCAGATATCTCGACGGTGTGATAAGACACTGTATCAAATGCAAGGATTATTATTATTATTATTGAATCCTTTCTTAGTTTGACTTGGCACAGAAAAGTACTTAATGCAATTATGTTACAAATGGTTGTAGGTTTTAAAATGGGTGAAACTTGGAATATTATTGGCATGTTTTATGATTACTTTTAAATTGAATTGGGATGATCGAAAGGTTCTCTTAAAATTAAACCACTACTTTTGATTGAAGCTAATTCAACCACGATTGCTGGAGTCCTGTATTTTAGTGGTTCGACTGTTTGCCTTGCGAGCGAGAGGACTCGAGTTTGATTCTCAGGTAGAACTGGGCGATATTTTAGGAAAGTTTCCTTACTCTACACACATGCCTCTGTTTCCCGAGCAGTAACTCGGAAACCGGTTGTTAGTGGATTGATGGATAATTTTCAGGGGGGAATAATTCCTCCAGAAATAAAAAAAATAAATTAAACGCAAAATATTGCGGATGCTGGAATTCTGACGTGTGTCAACTAAGATGAACTAGCGAATTTCTGAAGAAGGGTCATGGACATGAAACCTTGACCCCTTTTCCTTTCTCCATAGACGAGAGACCTGCTGAGTGTTCCTTGCAATCCCTGTTTTTGTTAATAATAATACTAAATTGGTCAACGACTGTTTATGGCTTCAACGTTTCACCCATCAAATATCCACTTCATCGTATATTCTGTTATATGCCTCGAGAATTCTCAACAACCTGATAGGAGGCTATAAGAAATGCAAGAATTGCTAATCTTATTATTAAAATGACAACATATTAATTAAATTTGGGGATATGATTGCACTTGAGTAAAAAAAAACTCTCCCCCCCCCCCCAGGGCTCACATCAGAGCCGACCTTGGTCCTGTTGGGTTGGCTGCCCCAGCCCCAGCCTATGGGATAATGCCATCCACCTGACCACTCGCTCCCGTTCCCCGCGTACGCACTATGACTGCCGCTTTGACCCGAGTCCCCTCACCCCCTCCCTCCTACTCCCTCATCTCTACCCCCAAACCCTCCCACCTCTGCATCTCTCCCGCTCTATACTCCTCTCTCTCCGTCCCTTTCGCCTTCTATCCCCACTTGACCCTCTCACAACCCCCTCTGTTCCAGCCTGGACTCACCGTGGCACTCGGCGTTGACTGTCCAGCAGCAGCCACACCGAGTGCCCCATTCCCACCTCACTCGCCAGCCACCCCGGACACAGACCCGGGGAGCCAACCTCTCATCCCTTATCCCCATTTCCCCCACCCCTGCTTCACAACCTGGACACCCCTCCCCTCCCACACACCCTTCTGTCAACCGCTCCCTCCACATCGGAATACAAAATGTCCGCTCCATCTGTAACAAGGCCTTGGTCATC